GTGCCTTCTAGTAATCAAATTGGGCAGCTCATTAAAATTATGTGTGAACAGATAGGTACCCTGGCAAAAAGGCAAGGGAGCCGAGAAATAGCTAGAGCAATAGAATTACTATTTTTATCGTCAGGAAAAAAAAAAAAAAATCAGGACTGGGAGGTATTCGAGGAGGTGTACCTAGAAAACGCCCATCGGAAGACAGTGAGTGGCTCCTAGGGAAGTAACCAGAGCCGTAAAACCCACCACAGATGAGTCATGCCAAAGAAGAGGAATATTTAAAATTGGATATGTCTATATAAAATAACTCAGCTAACAGTGGGGGAATTTAAAGAAGCTATCTGAAGAGCAGTATGAGGAAATGGGAGGATGAGATTTTAGTTGCTTGTACGGGCGGGCTAAATATAGCCTTGTCACATACATCTCCACGAGGGAGCTGCTTGGCATCTGGCAGAGGCCTCCAGTGTTCTCCTAAATGAAAGTGTTAAGGTGGGCTCAGATGATCTCCAACGGGATGGTTAGTTCTCTGGGCTACAATGCAGGGAAGGGAATTCACACATATGTCAGGCCTATTTTGTGCTCGGTCCTGTGCTTGACATTCTAACATATATGAGCTCATTTGCTTCTCACAACAAACCTGTCACAGGGAAGTCATTATCACCACTTCGAGCTGAGGGAAACTGAGATCACACGGCTCTTAAATCGTGAAGCAGGAATTAAACCAGAGTTTGGGTAGCAACAAACCCACTGCCACCAAGCTGCCTCTTGCATTAAAGGAAGTTGGTAATGAAGTATCAAACAACTCCAGAGAAAATGTAACTTAAGGAAACAGGTATTGTGCTAAATATCTGATTCAGGAAAAAAAAAAAAAAAAAAATCTGATTCAGATGGCGACCTTGGCTGATTTGACTGACCTTCCTTGGGCTTCAGTCTTGCTGAAGTTTGTTATTTTATGAGACCGACACCTACCTATATATAATAACAAAATAATCTTATTTAATAAATGGGGCCCACACCTTTAAAAAAAAATCCTTACAGTGTTTTACTAGGCACGACAGATTTCCACAAATTTCCCTCTGAGGGCTGGGCAGAGAGTGGGGGCGATTTAGTCATTTATCCAATTCTTTATTAACAACCATGTACTGAGAGCTTAATATGAACCAGGCACTTTGGTAGGCTCTTAGAATAAGCAAAATGGCCACACTTCCTGTCTCCGTAGAGTGTATAACCTAGTGAGTGATGCAAACCAGAAAAGGGATTTTACTGTTTTACTGAGCACGGGAGAGTAGGGTAGACATTGTTAAGGGAAAACCAGGGTTTTTATCCAACATTGGAGCAGAACCTAACTCTGATGTAGGAATTTAGGGGAAGCTTCATCAGGGAAGGAGGAAATGCAGCTGTTAACTTTCTGAGCGGAAAGAAGAGCTCATCTGCAAGTGGTGAAACACAAACTGACCCACAGTCCTCAGGCACTGACCACACAGCAGAGCAGGGAGCCAGTGAAGCTTGTTTCTCATTGGTCCCAATGCCAAAGACTCGACCCTTCCGTGCCTAGGAGTGCCCTTGATCGACAGATGCCTCAAGCTGCCCCCGGCCATCTGGAGCCCTTCACTGCCCTCTCTTCTGTGTACTCTCCAACATGCTCAGGACCATTTCAGTGAAGTTGAAGTTTACGTGTAAATTCAGACTGCAAAGAGAAAATCGCCTGCTGTCAGAATGACTCTAGGAAACCACTTGGGAGGTCTCTATTTTAAAGATCTCAAAGTCTAATACAGTCAATTTTTCCACCAGGAGTGGGAAACAGAAGTGTTTCTATACAGGCCAGAGAGTTGGCTTCTGAGATTGGGGCCATATTGTGTCGTGAACAGATCCTGTGCCTTTAAATACATTACTTTCTGAGAATTGTCTACACCAGGTGAGGCGTCTATATCATAAAAGGCTGAAGGAATGGCAGATCCAAGTTCTCCTTGACATACTCGCACTTTATTGTTCTAAGTTTTTGGCTGAAGGGTTAATAAATGGCTCCTGTCTGACGAAGGCGGCAACCAGAACGTTCTCTTGCCTACCTGGGCGCCCAGGCATTATGAAATTATGGACATAAAATCACCCCAGCCTGGCACATGTCACTAATGGACAAGTCAGTTTACCTTGCCTCCCCGACAGGGTCAGAATGTGTTCAGCCTCGCACGTGACTTTACTCCAGCACCATGATTATGAGGAGTATCTGATGGCAGACTTTCAAGCACTGAGAAAATACTGTTTACTCAGTAAAATACTCAGTAACAGAAAATGGCCTGTTTGGGGAATGGGGATAAAATATTAATGAAATATATTTCTTTCTCCTCCAGTTTAGGAGAAAAGCAAGAATTGAACAGGAAATTAGAATATGGTCAATGTGAGCATGGATGCTACAGGAGCCCAGGGGGTGGCTCTTCCCTGGAGGAGTGGGCCAGGCCCAGAAGAGGGGGGCAGTGTTTCCCAAATGCGAGGAGCAGCAGGTGAAGCAAAAGCTTCTCTTTGACAAGCGCGTTGACAATGAAGTGAATAGAGGCTGCCCTATGTGCCCTGCACACCGACTATATTTCCAGGAAGCATAAAATGGAGGTACGAGCCACAAAGAAGAATCTGCACCTTTGATGAGAATTTGCAGAGCAGAGAGCTAAAAGACAGACACAAAATTTACAAACGGCAGTGGAACAGTCCCTTGCCAAAGTGATGTCATCGGTGACGTTTGTGTGAAATATCAGATACTTGGAAAGCCTTACCGAAACCAGTAGGCTAAAGGCGTCAGCAGATCACTGACAACGTGCTGAGCATGCATTTGCACGGAACACTTAAGATCTTCCGAACACTCATGAACCCAGCTGGGTACTTCTGACGCCACATCGGCAAAAGGCCCAGCGGTGCTCTCTGCTCGGCCAGGCAACGTGTTATTGATCAGTAATTCTGTCACTGAGGCACACGTTTTCCAGGAAGAAGACAAAACCAAACAACCAAAAAACAAAACAAAACAAAAAACGCAGCACTGGAATTATTGGGAATTTTAGACAGCCAAGAACATTTTACAAAATAGCATCTTTTTCAGAACACACACACACACACACAAAACCATCTCTTGACCACCAGAGCATACAAACAGGGTCTGCTACGTCAGAGAAGAGGGCTGGGAATACAGATTTTCCACGGTCCCCCTTCTTGATTGCATTTCAATTGTGTTTGCAATTCTGTGTATCACTGTTCAGAGGTACTGTGAGTCGGATTAGCATTTTCACTACCATATTGTTGTCACCAGGAAGGCCAATGTATGCGAGGCTTCCTAATAAACACCAGCTTTTTTCTAACACAGAAAAGGAAGGAAGAGATAATACAAAGAGAGGGACTCAAATGGGAGTAATTTCATTTTCTATCTTTGAGGTTACTGAATCATTTCAGAAGATGTGCCTCCATAAAAACCTTATCAAAATCACATGCTTGCCCACGGTGGCACATAGACCAGTCCATATTTGGACTTCCCACAGTCACATACGTCTGGAAAAATAGGGCATGTGCAATTGTCCTCATCATTTCACCAAGTCCTTTAATGACAAAACAATTGTCAGGTGCCCCAGATGTTTTGTTTTTTGGTTTTGGTTTTTTTTTACACACCCACAAGCAGTGTCTGTTAATATATTCTTGGCCATATAAATTTCTAAATGTTCACTTCAAAATAGTAGAGGAAAATAAGTACTCCTATTTTGTTCAATAGGAAGTTTTATTCAATTGGAACCCATAAACTATCAAAAAACAAAGCTTCTGTGACCTATGACAAAGGCCTGCCTTTGAATCTTGGCTCTTTTACTAGTTGTCTGACGTTGGGAAAATTACTTAGCACCGCTGAACCTCAGCTCCCCCAGCTTTTAAACAGAGAATAGTAGGTACCTAATTGAGTAGTTGTATTAATAAAGACATTATGTGTAGAACACATTAATTAGCTGCTATCATGATTCCTTGTTATTAATACTAAAAGAGCAATTTTGTCAACTTCTGATTTCATGGTTAGTGCTTTTTTTTGAACGTGTAATTGTGGGGACAAAGCTTGGGCCGGAACCAGTAAAACCTATATTTGAATCCTGAGGGTCCTGTGAGGTACAAGAAAAACCACTTAACCTCTCTGAACCAAGCTGTTTCCAATGGAAAATTTGAATATCAAGGTCTCCCTTCACAGATTGCTACAAAGACTGAATGAGGTCATTCTTCTCAGCACATGGTAAACATTCATTGAATAGTAACTTCTACTATTAATATGACTGCAATAGGAGCAGCTAAAAAACAAGGAATTACCTTGACATCCTCCTTGGAGGAAAATAACATCATCTTGTACAAGGAGGGAAAACAGTGTTGTCTTTAGTTGCCAACCATGCTGGTTGGTGATGTCCCGGCGTGTTCTATGAAAAGGACTCCAGTATTTACTAGGCCTCTGCATGCATGCGGTGTTGACAAATACAAGACCTGGAAACCAGCATGTCGTTATCTTTAAGGATATTTAAATATCCCCCAATACATGCACAAAGCTACTGAAGAAAACACAAAATATTCTGCGGATACGACATATTTTGAGACCGGGAAATATAAAGCAAGTGCCTTTTATCACAAGGGTAGTGAGGAGATCTGGGAAAGCAATCACAACAGTAAAAAGAAGGACCAAGCCTCTCACCCTCCTTCTTCTCTAAATCTGTCGTTTGGCACAGCATGGAGAGTATTAGAAACTCCGTTACTGTCCCAGGGTTTCACCATTCAAACATTTTAAGTTGACTTCTTCCAATCGGTTCTAAAAGTGTGTGTGTGTGGGGGGGGGGGGGGCTGGCTCCTACAGGTGGCGTGAAGGGTAGAGACCTTGAGATTAGGGAAGTTTATGAAGGAGGGGGGATTCTAAAGTATCCCTGTACCTTACAAGCGATTGCTTCTAACGCGGGATGTACAGAGAACAGGAGGAGCATTCACGTAAAGGGCCAATTCTTCAGACACCAAAGGAACAGACCTGAGATTTGTTCAAAGTAATCAACGGTTTTATTTCCTGGAACTGAAATAGTTCAGCTCTCAGCTTCCAAAGCTACAGTCAACAATTTTTCATCAGAGCCCAAGGGAGAAGGGCAGGGGTGAAGGAGACAACAGAAGAAGAAGGGCACACTGAGAGGCTCAGGAAGAGGCTGGGAGGGGGCCCTCTCTCTTCTCAGGCAGTTACATTTCAGGTCTGGTGACAATGCTGAGGGGGCCAGGGGGAGGGACGTCACAGATGGGAAATGGCACTGCCAAGGAACCCCAAAGCCTTGACTACAAAAAGGAAGTCATCAAACCCCAAACAGAAAGGGAACCCCCAGCCCACCTCTGAAATGGGGTCATGACGGCAGAGCTGGCCGCTGACTGAAGGCGCAGCCAGGGTAGTGCTTCATTGAGGGGGCTGGGGGGTCTTTTCATCAAAAAGACTTCCCAAGCTACGTGCCTTTTCTTTTACGCCTGAGTGACATATAGGACTGTAGGGCGGCCTGGAGGCTGTGGGGAGAGGGAAAGGGGCGGCCGGGAATCTGCGCAGAACATCCCGCGTAAGCCCAGAGGTGGAAATGGGGACAGACGTTGCTCGCCACTGCCACCCGAAGCGCCGGGCAGAGCGAACCCTTCCCACGTCGCGCACAACTGGGAAGCTCCCACATTATTCGATGAAAAACGACACGTCCCAGAGCTCCCACAAGGGGCCCAGAAAGGAGGGTGGCCCTCGCCCAGGAGCTGTCCCACTTTCGGTGAACCTGAGCAGCTGGGGTAACGGGCACGGGCGGGCCGAGGGGCCTGCCGCCCACCACCAGCACGGTTTGGGGACGGCCCCCGGGCCCCCGGAGGCCCCTCCGCCCCCCTGCTCGGTGCCCCACGCCTGCCCCGCCTGCCCCTGACCGCAACGCGGGGTCCGGGGTGCCCGCGTCGGGAGGGGGCAACGGCCGGGCCAGGCCCCAACCGAAGCCTTGGGAGGCCGCGCCGGGCGGGGGCGGAGGCGCCCGGGCTCGGATCTCGGGGGCGCGGGGTGCGGAGCCGGGGGCCGGGGCCTGCCCCTGCAGCTCGGCCCCGGGGCCGGGCGGGGCAGGCGAGCGGGCGGGGGAGGCGCCCCGGGCTGCAGGCCGGGGTCGGGCTCCGCAGTAACGGCCGGGCCGCAGCGGGAGGGGGCGGGGGGCTCCTCGGGAGACTGGTGACTACGGGCGGTCGCGCTCCCCGCCGCCCGGGGCCTGCGCCTCCGCGGCCTCTCCCTGCCGCTCGGGGCCCTCCGGGGGCGGCTGGGCCGCGGCGCCGCGGGTTCCCGGCTCCACGACGCGCGGCGCGGCCCCTTCGCCGGCGGCCTCCTCCTCCTCCCGCGGCGGCGGCGGCGGCGGCGGCGGCGGCGGCGGCTCCCCGTCGGGCTCGGCCTCCCGGGGGCGGTCGGGGGGGCCCTGGCGCGGCGGCCCCCGCGGCTCGGGCTCCCGGGCCGGCTGGCGGCCGGCGGCCTGCACGCTGGGGTTGTTCTCGATCTCCCACAGCCCCGCGCTGAAGCCCCGCCTCCTGTTGGGCTTGCCGAACTTCTCCTTGGACTCGTCGTACGGGAACAGGTGCTTGGGGCCCAGCAGGGCCGTCTCGTGGGTCCCGAAGAAGAACACCTGGTAGCGGTTCGGCTCGGCCATGTGCTCGATCCTGGCCGGCCAGTGGGCGTAGCCCTTCAGCTTGGCGAACACCAGGTCGCCGCTCTTGTACTTGCGCCGGCAGCAGCGCGACATGGCGGGCTGCGGACCCGCCTCGGCGGAGGCCCTGGCGACGCCCGGAACGCGGGCGCTGGCGGCCGCTGGGCTGCGCCGGGCGCGCGCCCGCCGCCGGGCGCAACGCTCGGCGCCGGGCGGCCTCCAGCGCCGGGCGCGTTCCGTCCGCGGCCCGCTCTGCACGCCGCGCTGCCCGGCTCGGGCGTCCGGGTGGGCGCGGGCGGAGCGCGGCCCGGGACCGCCGAGCCCCGGCCGCCCAGAGCGACGCGCGGCGCGCGGGGTGCCCCGGGGCCCGGAGGGCGAGGGATGGGGCCGCGCGCTGGGAACACGCGGTGACCCCGCGGGCACACATTTGGGTGGAAGGAGGACCGGCCGCTGCACCCTCGAGGCGTCCGTTGGGTCCCGACCGGCTCACAACGGCCAACTGCGCTCTCGCCTCGGAGCCGCTGAGGGCCCGCTGGGTCAGTGGTGTCCCCACTTTTCTGACTTCTTTGAGGGCTGGCACTGGAGCCTCCTCGGGGCAAAGGGATAGAGTCAGCGATAGTGGTGGGGAGTCCTGAGGGCACGTCTTCTGGAATCCGGTCTTCTGAGCGGGTGGTGTTTGGGGGCAAGTGTTTATTGCAGCAGGATGACCAGGTCAGACCGGCCGTATCAGAATGTCCTACTTCGCGGGCGCCTGGGTGGCTCAGCCGGTTGGGCGCCTGCCTTCGGCTCAGGTCAGGATCCCGGAGTCCCGGGATCGAGTCCCGCGTCGGGCTCCCTGCTCGGCGGGGGGTCTGCTTCTCCCTCTGACCCTCCCCCCTCTTGTGCTCTCTGTCTCTCAAATAAATAAATAAAATCTTAAAAAAAAAAAAAATGTCCTACTTCGCGGGGGGCGCCTGGGTGGCTCAGTCGGTTAAGCGACTGCCTTCGGCTCAGGTCATGGTCCTGGAGTCCCGGGACCGAGTCCCGCATCGGGCTCCCTGCTCGGCGGGGAGTCTGCTTCTCCCTCTGACCCTCCCCCCTCTTGTGCTCTCTGTCTCTCAAATAAATAAATAAAATCTTAAAAAAAAAAAAAAATGTCCTACTTCGCGGGCGCCTGGGTGGCTCAGCCGGTTGGGCGCCTGCCTTCGGCTCAGGTCATGATCCTGGAGGCCCGGGATCGAGTCCCGCGTCGGGCTCCCTGCTCGGCGGGGGGTCTGCTTCTCCCTCTGACCCTCCCCCCTCTTGTGCTCTCTGTCTCTCAAATAAATAAATAAAATCTTAAAAAAAAAAAAAATGTCCTACTTCGCGGGCGCCTGGGTGGCTCAGTCGGTTGGGCGCCTGCCTTCGGCTCAGGTCATGATCCTGGAGTCCCGGGACCGAGTCCCGCATCGGGCTCCCTGCTCGGCGGGGGGTCTGCTTCTCCCTCTGACCCTCCCCCCTCTTGTGCTCTCTGTCTCTCAAATAAATAAATAAAATCTTAAAAAAAAAAAAAATGTCCTACTTCGCGGGGGGCGCCTGGGTGGCTCAGTCGGTTAAGCGACTGCCTTCGGCTCAGGTCATGGTCCTGGAGTCCCGGGACCGAGTCCCGCATCGGGCTCCCTGCTCGGCGGGGAGTCTGCTTCTCCCTCTGACCCTCCCCCCTCTTGTGCTCTCTGTCTCTCAAATAAATAAATAAAATCTTAAAAAAAAAAAAAATGTCCTACTTCGCGGGGGGCGCCTGGGTGGCTCAGTCGGTTAAGCGACTGCCTTCGGCTCAGGTCATGGTCCTGGAGTCCCGGGACCGAGTCCCGCATCGGGCTCCCTGCTCGGCGGGGGGTCTGCTTCTCCCTCTGACCCTCCCCCCTCTTGTGCTCTCTGTCTCTCAAATAAATAAATAAAATCTTAAAAAAAAAAAAAAATGTCCTACTTCGCGGGCGCCTGGGTGGCTCAGTCGGTTGGGCGCCTGCCTTCGGCTCAGGTCATGATCCTGGAGTCCCGGGATCGAGTCCCGCGTCGGGCTCCCTGCTCGGCGGGGGGTCTGCTTCTCCCTCTGACCCTCCCCCCTCTTGTGCTCTCTGTCTCTCAAATAAATAAATAAAATCTTAAAAAAAAAAAAAAATGTCCTACTTCGCGGGCGCCTGGGTGGCTCAGTCGGTTGGGCGCCTGCCTTCGGCTCAGGTCATGATCCTGGAGTCCCGGGATCGAGTCCCGCGTCGGGCTCCCTGCTCGGCGGGGGGTCTGCTTCTCCCTCTGACCCTCCCCCCTCTTGTGCTCTCTGTCTCTCAAATAAATAAATAAAATCTTAAAAAAAAAAAAAATGTCCTACTTCGCGGGGGGCGCCTGGGTGGCTCAGTCGGTTAAGCGACTGCCTTCGGCTCAGGTCATGATCCTGGAGTCCCGGGACCGAGTCCCGCATCGGGCTCCCTGCTCGGCGGGAGTCTCCTTCTCCCTCTGACCCTCCCCCCTCTCATGTGCTCTCTCTCTCTCAAATAAATAAATAAAATCTTAAAAAAAAAAAAAAATTCCTACTTCGCATGGGAAGGTTTGCATCGCATGCTGGACAAGGACTTTATCCTTTCGGGGATTCTTACCTACTGGAAACAAGACTTAATGGTTCTAACACGCAGAGTATATGCTCTAAAATCTTCCCCTACAATAGGGGGAGGGTGGGCTGGTTGTGATCAAGAATTAGGTAAATGCCTGCTCATGTCAAATAGGCTGTTGGTAACGAGGACTTCCTGGGGGCTACAGAGTAAAAAAAAAAAGCATTCTCTCAGCTGAGAGACTATTTCAAGAAGAGATGTTTCTCCAGATAGAAGACTCTTCTAAACCGATACTTCTGGGAGTTTCCATGTAACTGCTTTTGTTATAAAGCTTTCTACATCTTTTTGGAGTCCTGCTAGCTAGCGGTGAGCTTGCACTTTGAAACCTAGCCAAATTTATCAAAATAGTACTCGTGGCTATTGCAACAAAGACCTTTCGATATCAATCATGTGTTTAACTACACAGATGTTCTTTCCTAGTGTAACCACAGGGACCGGTGGAGAATTAGAACCATTAACCCGTTTCATTACAGATTTGTTTCCGGTTTGCTGGGTTGCATCAGCCGTTTTGCCTCCGGATGGTGGAGACCCACTTTAGGTCAAGAAGTTACCTTCTCCCAACAAGGCAAAACAAATATGATGCACTCTGATAATTCTAAACAAGTTCTTTCAGCTTTTCTGTCAAGCCATTTTCTCAGAACGTTTTTTAGGACATTCTGCTACAAAGATGAATCTGATACATTGCCTCTTTTCAACGTCATAGGGAAAACGCCAGAAAACTAGAAATGTTTAGTGGCTGTAGAAGATAAATAGGACGTCGTGGGCAGCTGCGGAGCCCCTGGTGGGAAGGAGTGTGGAGTTTCTGTAAGCGGAGGTCTCACTACACACACTCGTGGCCTTTTTTGTCAGCCCTCACTCTGCTGCACTAAAGCGCACATCACATAGCCAAGTTGGTCAAAGAGGAAAAAGTCTGGTTAGACAGTAGGTCCGGAAAGGATACTTAGTTAGGCCATCCTGTCAGTCTGCAGGCAGGACCAGACCTAAATCCAACAGCTCAAGGTGAGTGTGATTATGGGCAAATGGGCCATACTGGTGTAAGCCAAACATCAAAGATCATCGCCAGGTTGTTGACTCACAGCAGGTAAACAGGTAGGTCTGCGGGTATTATTGGGACTGGGTATTTGAGGCGTAGGTAGAGCAAAGAACCAAAAACCTACCAAAAACTGAAACGAAAAGGAAACAGAGGCAAGAAAATCTAGTAGAGAAGCATCCAGATCTGCAAAGAGTAAAGGAAATTCTTTTTTTTTTTTTTTTTTTTTTATTTATCTGAGAGAGAGAGAATGAGAGAGAGCACATGAGATGGGGGAGGGTCAGAGGGAGAAGCAGACTCCCTGCCGAGCAGGGAGCCCGATGCGGGACTCGATCCCGGGACTCCAGGATCATGACCTGAGCCGAAGGCAGTCAGTCGCTTAACCAACTGAGCCACCCAGGTGCCCAAGAGTAAAGGAAATTCTATTAGGCACAGACCATCATTGTCCTATCTTCACCTCTTGTGGGCTGCTATAGGACCTGCGCAAAACGTGTTTATCTTTGAGGACTTTAAAATATAATTTCAGAGATAAGTCACCAGAGACTTCATTACAGAGAAACCCAAGCTAGTCTTCAAGTGCTAAATTATGTGTTCTTTGCATAAACACAAAGGAATTCCAGGAGAACTCAGTGGGAGGGTGATTATTAGGACCAGGAAGGGGTAGTAGGAGACACAATAGAATTCTTGCATCCCTCCCTTGTTTACCAGCCTTGTAAGGCTGGGAGTAGATAGAATGGTTCTGAGCCTCTGCTACCCGTGATCTTAAGGTGTTTAAAGTAATACTTTGAATTTCTCTCAGGATTTGTTAAAAATATTAATGAGATTATGGGTTTGAAAGTCCAGACAATGGGTGTGAGGGTCAGTGCTAACAAAGTGTGAAGGATGGTTTCATTTTGGATAGGAATTAGGCTATTATTATTATGCTAGTATTATTATTAGACTAAGGGAGGATAAAGATCTATCGAAAGGAGTAGATTCACAAATAAGAGCACTGAAGAATGAAGAGAGGCCCTCGACCAGCTGAAGTCCATAGGACACGTGCAACTTCATATCCAGCACAATTTCTGCATGGGACAACGTAAGAGATTTTGCTACGTGGAAATACTATTTTTAAAAACAGTATTCCTCGATGGAATTGAAGCATTCATGGTAGCTTACTCCAGAAGTGGGAGAGTGGGAGGAAGGCTGATGAAAAGTGAAATGCATTTAAAGAGTTAAATAGGGACCACTTTCACAGATCCTGCATTCATTCCTTTTATACCTGCGTTCTCAGGGATGCAATTAAGAGGCTGGATCTTGGCTTCTCTTACCCTTGAAACCAACTTGTTCTTAAAAGTTACTGTCTTGGGGCGCCTGGGTGGCTCAGTTGTTAAGCGCCTGCCTTCGGCTCAGGTCATGATCCCAGGGTCCTGGGATCAAGCCCCACATCGAGCCCCACATCGAGCCCCACATCGGGCTCCCTGCTCAGCGGGAAGCCTACTTCTCCCTCTCCCACTCCCCCTGCTCGTGTTCCCTCCCTTGC